CCTCGGCACCCAGACTGATATTTCTTATAAGTTATCAATAATATCTCTTTTCATAGTTAAAGGAGGTTGGTGAGGTCAGGCCTGTAATCTGAGCACTTTGGGAGGCCGAGGCGGGTGAATCACTTGAGGCCAGGAGTTCAAGATCAGCCTGGCCAACATGGCGAAACCCCATCTCTACTAAAAATACAAAAATCAGCTGGGCATGGTGTCAGGCACCTGTAATTCCAGCTACTCCGGAGGCTGAGGCAGGAGAATCTCTTGAACCCGGGAGGTGGAGATTGCAGCGAGCTGAGATTGTGCCACTGAACTCCAGCCTGGACGACAAAGTGAGACTCTGTCAAAATAAATAAATAAATAAAAATAAAAGGCTGAGAACATAATTAAAGTAAAAGGTCACTACATAGTTATGGTAGTTATGAGTCTTTATGTATAAATTACTTCCCACTCCACACCTAGTTTGAATTCTGGCAATATCCTTTGCATTTTTGCATCTTTAAGCATAGCTGAAGGTAATGTTGAAGGTTTAGCATCTCGTATTTATAGAATTAGCAGTCATTAAGTAAAATTCTCATTTATTCTCAGCATGTTATTTTTTTGGTTTGCTGTCTTTGTAGGTAGTCACACACGAACGATTAATTCCTTAACTGCCATACATTTATTAACACATCTAGATCCTATCTAAAAATGATTTGTACAGAAAAGAGTTTTCAGGGGCTACAGAAGCTCCTCTTTAAAGTCAATGCAATGTAACTACTTACCATTTTTCTCGTAGACAGCATCTACTTTATCACCAATTCCTGGGAAGTCTTCTTCTATTAGTCTTGGATAGTCTTTATCCATAATATGGTTAGTATCATCATATCTATTTAAAGAAAAAAAACCTCTTAAGTCAGTTATATTTCTTAGAAAGTACCTTAGAAATAATACAATAGATACAATAGCATCTTTCAAAATTGACAAGAATTTAAAAATTTTAAGTCCATTTAAAACGTCTGGTAGCTTTTTAACATTAGGAATGAGAATACTGAGTGTACAGTGGCTGCTTGACGAGTATTTGTTGACTTGCCCGAAGGCCATCTTTTTAAAGAGAGTTACAAGCTCATTTCCATTTCACGAATGGTGTATCTGTTATAAAAGTATGTCATTAGGAACGTGTTCTTAAGCATGAAATAAATGCATGTTTGTGCATTGAACAATTAGCTATTGATTTCCCACTATGTGTAAGACAACTTGCTAAACACAGTAATGGCTACAAAAATATTTAAGGTTTAATTTCTGTAGTAAAAAGTTGTAGGGGCATATGGTAATAATAAAGGTGGGAAGGGAAGCATAGTTTTCCCCTTCCATAACTGCATATTTCAAGCTCCTTCTCCCCTGCCCGCAGCCACACCCTAACCAAGCAAACATATCCTAAAATTAACCTAGGAAAACAGGCTCCCATAAGGTGCCACTACTGCTACTGATGAGAGCTTTTGAATATCCTGAAGGTATGTTCCAACAAGTAAAACATAACCACTGAACTACCAATAAAGCTAAGGCATGTGTTTACACATAACTGCAACACCAGGCAACAGAAGTGAAGCATGAGAGAGTAATCATGAAATGTCATGGGGGTACAGGAAACCGGGCAATAACCCCTGAATGGGGAAATCAAAGAAGACTTTGTAGATGAAATGATATTTTGAATGAACTTTAAACAATGGGCAGAATTTCAAGAGGGAGAGAGGCAGGGAAGGATCTCCTCGCCAAAGGAAAAAAAAAATTGCATAAGAGAAGCGTAAGGGAATACAAAAGAACAGCATATCTGAGCTGCAGTAAGCAATTAATCCTGACTGAACCACATACTTCTTATGGAGGGTAGGGAATGAAATGCAGTACCTGGTAGAAGCTGGCAGTGATTTTTAGAATGTTGTAAATGTCATTGTCAGAAATAAGTCAAAAGGCAAAGATGATATATACAGGTATGTGCATGTGTGTGGGTATGCATGTGTGTGTGTAACTGTGTGTATGTAGAGATGGAGGAAAGTTTCCATTTTAAACATTTCGAATGCAGGGTACTGATAAGATATTCCCGTTCCCAAATATAGACTTGAATCTGGACTCCTAAATGTTGTTGATGTCAACGCTGCCTGAATCTTTACATATGTTTTAAATATTCCAGCTTCACTTGCCCTTCAGAAAGTTTCACTTTATAAACGATGGGCCTGTCAGCTTCCTGGTCAACCTCTTGAGTGGATCAGCTAACTCTGCAGATAGGAGGGCTTTCTCTCTCAACTAATCTTTCCCTGTACTCATGCTGGTATCCTCTTTGGCCATGGAAGATGAAGCTACATGTAAATTAAGAGAAAGTGACAAGAAAGAGAATACAGGAGAAAGATTAGAAAGAGAAGGTGTCAATTGGCTGCGGTGGCTCACAACTGTAATCCCAGCATTTTGGGAGGCTGAGGCAGGTGGATTGCTGGAGGCCAGGAGCCTGACCAATGTGGCAAAACCCCGTCTCTACTAAAAATATAAAGATTAGCTGAGTGTAGTGGCACATGCCTGTAATCCCAGCTACTTGGGAGACTGAGACACGAGACACGAGA